CCAAAACTGGTAACTCTCTTAGAAGGAGGCACCCTACATATCCCCCTCCTAAACAGCACTCATAGGGAGAATGTCACGATCCTCATCCCCCAAACTGGCTGTCTTCTCCTTGCTGCCAAACTGATGGAGAGCTGCTGTATTTCTTAAAACCAAATTTTCAAAATAAATGTAATTAAAATTAAATTTAGAACCTACTAATTACATTATTAGGTATTAGCACTATGGACAGGAAGCACCATAGATTGATTTAATTTAGCTCCAGGGGCCAGTATTGTTAGTATGTGGAGGAGAAGAGAAAGGTTCCAAGTCTGCAATGGTCCTGTAGTTATCCTAGCACTAATCCCTACAAGAACTGTAATATTGTGATATTAGAAATTTGCAGCTCTTTAAGGCTGCCCCCCAGTTACTTCCTCCACTTTCTGAAACACAAAGTAGTCCCCAATATATTCCAATAACTTATTGGAAATGTGTTTTGCCATATTACTTTTCCAACAGATGTCTGGGTAGTTAAAGTCCCCCATTACTATATTTATGTTATTTGTTCTAGAAATTCCTCCTCCACCTCCTGTTCCTGATTAGATGGTCTTTAGTTAGACGTGTACTATGACATAATCCATATTTTTTTACCCCTTTTATCTTTACGTGGAGACTTTGAACTGGTCTATTCTCACCTACTTCTGGACCTCAGAACAAGTACATATATTTTTAATATCTAAGACAACACCTCCTTTCTTTCTTGCTTGTCCATCGTAAACAAGGTATATCCCTTTATACCAATATTTCAGTCATGAGACTTATTCCACCAAGTCTCTGTGGTGCCAATTGTCATAATTTATCATATGGACGAATACTGTCAGTTCTTAATGTGTATTCCCCATATTCCTTGCATTTGTGTATAGACATCTGAGATGTTGAGCAGATTCCCCCCACTGATTTCCCTCTTGTTTCTCCTATGATCCTATTATGGATGGGCCATTACACAAAGTAAAACTATTTCCCCATGCTTATTTCCCTTCCCACCCCCTACAGTTCCTCACATCTTCTTGTCAATTGCTGGAAATGGGCCATTTTCATTACCGCTACAAACAGTTCTTTTTCTCTCCTGCTGATAATAGCTCACCTTAACTGATCACTCTCCTTATAGTGTGTATGGTAACACCCATTGTTTCATGTTCTCTGTGTATATATATATATCTTCCTACTGTATTTTCCACTGCATGCATCCAATGAAGTGGGCTGTAGCCCACGAAAGCTTATGCTCAAATAAATTTGTTAGTCTCTAAGGTGCCACAAGTACTCCTGTTTTTTGCAGATACAGACTAACATGGCTGCTACTCTGAAACCTATGATCCTATTGTAATTTTTCATGTTCTTCCCCCTCTCAATATCTAGTCCTCTGTTAAGATGGCCTCTTTTTATGCTTACCTGTGAGCTTTTGTCACATCCCCCTGGGACCTAGTTTAAAGCCCTCCTCACTAGGTTGGCAAGTCGATATGCAAATATTTTCTTCCCCTTCTTGGTCAGATAGACGCCCATCTTTTCCCAGCATACCTTCCTCCTGGAACGGCATGCCATGGCTGAGAAAGCTGAAGTCCTCCCATCGACACCATCCATGCAGCCATCCATTCATCTCCAGGGTGTGCATGTTGCTGCCTGGGCCCTTACCTTCAACCAGGAGGATGAGTGAGAAGACAACCTACTCCTCTGACCCCCCTCACTCTTGCTTCCTGAGTCCTGTAGTCACCACTGATCTGCTTGGGGTCAGACCTGGCAGTATCATTAGTGCCCGTGTAGATGAACAGCATGGTAAGAGGGACGGATGAACCTTGGCAACTTTTCCATAACATCTCAGATGTATGCTACAGGCATGCAGCGCACATCTAAAGACATCATATCATGTTGGCAGATGGAAGCCTCCATCCCCCTCAGATGGGAGTCCCTCAACGACCAGCACCCTATCTCTCCCTCTGAAAAGAATGGTAGAATGCAGAAAGCACAGCTTGCTATTCGGCTGCTATTTTCTATTTAAGTCTGACAAATAGTGAGTGGGCTCAGAGCCACAATATCTTGTGAGGCTGCAACTGTATACCATATATTAATATTTATAAAGCTTAATAGCACAGTAATTTCTCTCTTAAATTAATTTTGTTGTTTATTGTTGGAGGTTAATTACTGATGTAGATAAGTGCTTATATAACAGTACTGAATACTGTTTTAAAAACTGTCTCTATATTTTTTTAATTATTTTGTTGCATATTTTTAAATATCTACAGTACTTCACAAGGGTACAAATAAGCTTAAATTAATGCTTGCAAAACACTTTGAAGTCTTATTTTATTTATAGTTTGTCACTTTATTCAAATTTTATACTGATGCAAGACAGTCTCATATTATAAAATATAATGACAACAATATTCAATTAAGAGTGAATATTAGCTCATCACTAACTCCGTAACACACTGACTAAAGAGTAATTTAAAAAAATAGACAAATTTTAATTAGGCATATGAGGTTTTACACAGAGAATGAGACCAAAGCAGCTTGTTATTTAACCAGCTTTCAGCTTAACAAAATCAATGAATACAGGAAAAAGTTTGCAAGTTTTAAACCCACTGACACTAATAAAAAAGGCTAAACAAGTTAATACAGTGAAATTTTCAGCAAGAACCACATTCATTTTAAAGTGTCTTAATGATTTGAAATTTTTAACAGTAAAGCGGTTTCTTTGGAATCCATTTTGAAATCATTTAAAAATATTCTATATTAGTATACCAACCCAAATAAATTGGACAAATGTTTTGGGGTCAGTTTTGAGTACATTTGCCTTCCAAGTTCGTGCTAGTTGAATTTTAAATAGCAAAAATGGAGCCAGTATAGCTCTTGCAGTGAAATCTCACGATTTTTTACTACTCTGAATGGTATGAAAAACTGAAAATAAAGGTAGTTTGTCTTTGCTATCTAGCTAAGAAAGTCTCCCCTTCCAAATGAATGGTAGAACAATCCTCTGGAAAGAGGGGCGTGTGTTTGACATCCTATAGTATTATGCAGTGTTGCTGTAGCAGTGTCGGTCCCAGGATGTTAGAGAGACTCACCTTGAGCCTATAATTTGTGTATTTAGCACTGTGCCTGATAGTTTGGGGGATTTTCTTTCCCCCTTCCTCCTTTTATCTAGTTCTTTGGTTTCTCTTTAGTTTGACCCATCTGTGACCAAAATAACTAATATAAAAGTTTTTGTTCATTGTTGTTGGCAATCTCCTAGTAATGCATTAGACTTAATAGGTTGAGTGTCAAAGTAAAAGAACTGTAATACTGTATACAGGTTACTTCCATACAGTCTGATCAATGCTGTGCTAACTGAGTAGTCACTGATACGGTTGCCAACTCCCTATCTCCTAATGTGGGACATGTAATTCAGATTCTGGATATATATGTGATGGCACGTCTTTTACATTAATGGGACATAATATTCATAGGCCAGTACCAGTTGTTCATTCTGTTTGCTGCTGTTTCCTGTGTTCATGAACTCATCCAAGCTAAAATTAAAAGCAAACAGGCTATCACTTAAAATATTGTCTAGGTTGCTAGGATAAAAATTAGATCTATTTTGTGTTTTTTTTCCCCTAACATCTTTCTGCAACTTCTATATGGGTTCTAATTCTTCTATATGGGTTCTTTTTTTAAAAAAATTCTAAAATAAAAATGGCCATAGGCCTGTTCTCTTGAGCAACCCTACAATAATAAATTAGGGTGCCTGCACAATAAACAAACAGAAAAATAAGAAAATAGATTTAAACCTCAACCCTTCAACAGATGGCTTTTGTTTTAGGATAGAAAAATAAATCTGATAAAGATTTCTCAAATTTGCAAAAAAAATTCTTATTTGCATGCTAAAAATACCCACCAGAATATTATACAATAAATGAACCACATTAAATGGCACACAAGATGGCTTTAAATGTATGAAAAATGCCCTGATCTCCTTTTTAAAAGGAAACACCAATAACACAAACTTGGTGTTTACTTAGTTGTATAAGGCAGGTGTGGATCTGACTTTGAAATTAATGCTTCCAAAGGGCCAGCATTAATAAGCAATGATTCCAGCTGTGATTGTTTATAGGGACCTAGAAATATATTACACAGAACTGAGCTGTCATGTATTTTAGGTCTGTTTAGCTATGTAGTTTCAATAAGAGAACGTATCGATAGAGAGTGTAAGATATTGCTATAAGCAAGAGTTTATTATTCAAACAAAAAGATTTGATTTTGGAAAACACAGTCAAGCTGTGGAAAGATTCTGAAGCTAAGGAACCTGCATGTGTTTAACGACTGTACATAGTGATTTCCCAAATTTTAGCTCAGGCTTTTCATCACTGTGGCTAACTATTATTAATTGTTTGTATTCCAATATCATCTAAAAGACTCTGCCAGGATTGGGGTTCCATTGTGCACTGTAGAAACATAAAATAAGAGACAATAATACCTCCTCTACGAGTTTAAATCTAAATAGACAAGGCAGAGGAAAGGGTGGGGGGAAGGATGTACCATACAGTTACAATAAATAGAGTGGTGGTTTGCAAACATGTTAGGAAAAAATGTCCAGAGAAAAAAAATGTAGAAAGTAGGCTGATGAAATAATTGCCAACTTGTAATCTTTAAATTGAGTGGTCTGTGTACAAGAGACTACTGTGGTTATATATTTAAATATGTATTTAACAATATAACAAATAATAGTCTTGACTTGCACCTCACTCCACAAGGAGACTTAATTAGAGCATTGTGTAATTCATTAGCCAGAAAATATGGGATAATAAGCACTGTGGATTTCTATAGCAGTAGCTGTAGAATAAATGGAGGAGATCAGTTTTCAAAATGGTCGGATTCTGTTTAGGTTTTTTTTTCCAGAAATAATACGAAAGATTAATAATGTGAGCAAAATATTCCATAAAAGCAATGCCTTCTCAGTTTTACTTGTAACTAAAGATTTGTTTTTCTATACTCAGCTGGGAAGTCATCAATTCCAAACCTGACTACAGGCCCAAAATAAACCAATGTATTGTAGATGCATTGGTGAATTTATTTCTATTTCTTCAGGAAATGTCACACTTCAAAGAGAAAAACCCTGGCAAGGTAAGTTCAATAAAGTAAGCTCAATATCTTTATCCTGTTTTATCAGGAGGTGTTCTGTCTCAGCAAACTATGATTGATAATATAGTAGGTAAATTTGCTAAAATTAAGACACTAAACTAGATTCAGTCAGGGTTTGTGCTAGCTTCTTCCTGTACGGATTGTAAGGGAGACTCCATGTAGCAGAAAAGTTGCCCAGGGGAAAGATTTATGGCAGTAGAGCCCTTCCCCCCTTAGCTGCTGGACTCTTCTCCAGCCACTGTGTAACACCAGAATTAGGGCAGGATATGGCATGACCAGTGTGGCTATGGGATGCACTGCTATGGAGCTCCTGGTGGAAATGCCATCTGTCTCCCTAGGGTAGAGACATCAGATCAGATCACAATAATAGCTTTAACAAAAACAGAAGAATCCTACATCATTTATAAATTTATGTATTATTTTTTAAAATAACTTTAATTGATTTTCAGAAAGTTTTACTCAAGTATTACATAATAGCATCTAATATTATGATATGAGAGGATCCTACCTATATCATAGTGCTATCATTTATCTGCTCATATAAATGTAGAATATTTTTTCCGAGACAGACCGAGGTGGAAAACACATGAGTGATAAAGGCAAGCAAGAGTATAATACTCTTCTTCTATTCGCAGAGTACTGTTGTTTTTGGCCAAATCTGAACTGATCTTTTCTCAATTAAACCAAATATTAGTAGCATGAGCAACATTGATAGCGGAACAGTCCATCATGGCAGCTGTAGTGGACATTGTAGATTTTTGCTTGTATCTTTGGGTATTTCACTATTTTTTTTTTCTTTTTTGCATTCAAACTTACTTGGACAAGTTACATTTTCTTCTTGAGATCATAACAAGAGTTTGCATTGAGATTTTTCCTGGAAAGAAGGCTCTCCGATGTAACAAAATGAATTTATATATTCCCAGTTGAAAAGTACATTAAGAAGAAGTTACGGCTGAGAGTATATATCAATAACATAGGGTAAAATACATTATAGGGATGTTGTGATTATCCTAGAAACAAACATAAACCCAGGAAATTCAAAGTTAAGATTAAACTGAAAAAAATCCCAATCACATGAGGTATGGAAATGCAGCTTTAATGCATCCAGACAACCAGATCTGCTGTCTACTGATGCCATGCAATAACCATATTGCACTGGGGAGTAGGGGCACTTATCTCTTGAGCACCTCTTTGTGGCTGAGTGTAGTATTTCAGTCCTTTTGCTGCTCCTGGCACCCCCTGTAGGCTGTCTGCATGTCTCTGCCAGTTTTCTTTGGCTTGGCCGTCCAGCCAGGTCACACAGTCAGACTGACCATCTTGCAACGTGTCCAACAAAACAGTCTATCTACCCTCACCAGAGTCTTTAGTCCTAGCTTTGGGCCCTTTAAATTCATCCTTTTGCTTGGGCTTCTAAGCGAGACCTGTCCCCTTCATGGGGCTTAGGTTAGGCTTCTCCCCCACACCTCCCATTTCTTGGGGTTGATGCTATTTTGCTGGTGGACCCACTCATTACTCTATGTTCCAACCTAGAGGCCCTATAAACAGCAGCCACATACTGTTCAGTTACATTTGTTGCTGCTACTTCCCTAGGCCTCTTCCCATCTGGCTCCTTTATCTTCACCAGTATCCCAGGACCAAAATTCTCAGGTTCCTCTTTCCCTGCAAACCCAACTGTGCAAGTGAGGCCTGAGTTGTACCCTGGCTAGTACTCAGACTCCTTTGGCCAAAGAGGAACACCTTCCCACCCAGGGACTGCCCTACTAAGGCCCAGCATCAAATGTTATCTGAGCCTGCTGGGCACTGATTGGCTGTCACTAGACCTTCTAGCCCTTGGAGGACCAGGTCTTTGTAGTTTCCAAGATGGCTGCTTCCAAGAGTCCTCTCTAGGCAGGCCTGGAAGACCCAACTTCATTGGTCTTTTCCTTGTATGTTGCTTCTTTCTGGGGCAGGGTGCAGCAGAGCAGTGGGGCCTCCAGCAGGAGTCCAGAAGGGCCTGGTACATTCTGTCACATCTATCATTAAGTATGCCTGAGGGAATTTTGCGCCACTGTGCATGCGCAGAATTCGTGTGCCGCATAATTTTTTCCTCAAAAAATACAGTCTGCCTAAGAAGTGCTGCAGTTCTGCCTTTCGCCCGCCAGAGGCCGCTGTGGCACCAGGACAGCCAGCAGCAGGCTGTTCTAGTGCCACAGCAACCTCTGGTGGTCAAAAGGCAGAACTGCAGCACTTCTGGGGCAGAATGTATTTTCTGTGTGGAAAAATTTCTGTACATGAACAGTGGTACAGAATTCCCCTAGGAGTAGAGGTTCATCACAGCATCTGCCTCCAGAGCCAGGCTACGACAGACAGAGTGGGGCACATGGGGCTGCTGGGAGGGGTCACAGATTGGGGTTCAGAATGGCTAGGGGGGAACAGTGTTGAGCCAGCGGCTGAATGGGAGTGGGGGTGCAAGGCCACATGAGGATGGGAGGTTTGGGGACAAGGGCAGATGTGCCTGACTGAATGGGAGAGGCTTGGGGTCAGCCAGGGTCTGCATGGGGGAAGCTTACCAACTCCCTAACAATCCCGCCCCTCCCCACCCCCAAAAAAGCCTGTTCCATACTTTTCCCACTCCACCTAACAACCCTGCAGGTTCACTCCAGGCTCCTTCCCTCTCCGTCTGCTCCTTCCCTGTCCGTCAGCTCCTCTGTTACCCCTGACTCCCCCGAGCCTTTTCACTCATTCTGATAGGTGTAGGAAATATAGTTCTGTATTGTAATTTAAATGAATTACTCAAAGTTCTGTATTAATAGGCCTAGTAAGGAATCTATTTGTCAAAAAAAATTTACCAGAATCTGTTTTTGGTCTGTATTGTTACAGACATATTTGCTGACAGATATTTTGAAATAAATTACCAAAATAATTGAAACTGGTATGATTATATTGTATTATTTTGACAAATAAAATATGCAGAATTTTGCAGAATTAAAAAATATTGTGCAGAGAATTTTTATTTTTTTTGGCACAGAATTCCTCCAGGAGTAGTTAAGGCATTTTAGTGTTTGAGGTCTCAGTTTAGACAAAACTGATTTTTAAAGACCCATTAGATTTTTTTTCCTCCTCTCCTTTTCCCCTGATGGTATCACTGTTCTATTGTTAAGACCATAAGAGAAGAAATAAAGTCTGATAGTGTGTGCTTCTCCTTCTTAATTAATTTTATCTCCTAATTTAATTAATAAGCTTGTAAATTCTCAGAAAATTCTGTAGTTTTGGGGAGGATACATTGTATTTTTCAAACACAACAGATATTAAATCCCTTCTTTATATATGCAAAATTCAGATTAATTTATAGAGCAGTAACTGATGCTTCCATAATGATACACTGTACAATGTTGGCAAGTGCCAAGAGTTAGCACTATACAAGACAAAACAATGAAAATGTCAAGTAAATTACAACTTAATTTGCATAAAGCTATATCTGGCTTTAGTGAGATCCTGTCAGTGCCTTCCTTTCATGAACATCAAAATCAGTCCCCAGTTTTAAGTAAAGTTTAAAAAAAAAACAAAAAAACCCAAATTGTAGTTTTCAGATGGATTATGAAGATGGTGACCTAACAAAACGAGCACCTGTTATTACTGCCTATTGTATTTCTTCTGATATTCATTGTATCCAGTTTTCATGACTGGCGATGACCTGGAGGTTGTTAAAACTTCCATATGGTAGGTGGAGGGAAGAAGCTTTATTTTTATAATACCACCTGAGACATAGCCTAATCACCCAAAAATATGCTGTTTAATTCTTACTGTAATACTTGTATTGCAATTATAATAAAAAATCTTCAATATTGTACTTTTAAACTAGAATATTACCCTGCTGGGGAACTGTTCTTATCACAATGTGTAAATATTTAATGTCATAGCAATATGAATTCTAACTATCGTCTCTGATCTCTTCTGTTTTCAGTTTTGCCTTCTGGTCTGCAGTGTGTGTACATTTTTCACTATCTTGGGTAGTTACATTCCTGGAATTGTACTCTCCTACTTTCTATGTAAGTATAGTCTTTTTTTTCCCCAGTCATGTCTTATGCATGTTGTATGTTCATTATGCAGTCTAACATACAGTCCGTTTTTTAAATAAATAGTTCTGTATATGGATCTTGACCGATGATGGTATTATATGAATGTCAGGTTACAGATTTTTCAGTTTGTCAGTTAAAATTCTGACACATCATGGCACAACTGTATGATATCTTTTAGGCAGTGATACAGAGAGAGACATATTTATGCCAAAATAAAACATGATCATGAATAAAAATATATGCTACCATGACCACAAATTCCCTATTGGAACTTCTGAAAATATTTAGTTACTTGGTATAAGTAGTTGTTATAATGTTGCTATCCCATAGAAGAGAAACCATACACTCCTAACCCACAATGTCTGAAGCAGGTTGGAATGTGCTGTTTTTGATGTTTACTTTATCAATGATTTCATCTTTCAGCAGTACATTTCCCTTTCTCAGAAAGCAAATTATGTCTTCAAAGACTGATGGTGGGCTGTGAGCTACATCTCACTGAGATGTCTCTTCCATGAAAAATTATCCCACTACCCCTACTGTTTTTTGTTTGTTTGTTTTACAAATTATGCCACCAACTGCTGTAGTGTATCATGAGTCCATATTGTCATCTAATACTGTTGTTTATATATGAATGGAGTTTTAAACAATTCAAAAGAGTGGGTGAAGAGCTGAGTAAATTATATGGAAAAAAAACCAGATGCCTCTGTTTTGCCAGTATATTGGTGTCAGTCTCTGCTGCTGCAAAAGAGTGCCTTGTCCTTTCAAGAGAACTCCTAGTTAAGGAGGGGGAAAAACAGAGTAAACTGAGGCTGATGCGTATATTAATCCGCTGCATTGGAGTGTGATATCAGTTCAAGCACACCATGTCAGGACCTTAATAGGTATAGTCAAATGGATTAGCAGAAAAGTTCAGTGAAAATAGCAAGGATTATTAAAAGAATTATTACCACCATTACCAAATTTATTATAATAATGGAGCCCTGGCAGATTTAAGAGATTTCTATTTAGCATTGTTGGAGTATTGCAGCACACAGCACAGTGATTTATTAACATCACAAGTATAAAGGTTTACAGGCAGAAGAACAAAAACTTTTCTGCTTACATCGAGCTTTTTGAGCCAAATATAATAAACCTTTATTTGTTCTAAAAGAGCTATATATCAGCCGTACAGAATTAATAAAACAAGAATGCCAAAAGTTTACCCCCATTGCAATTGGGAGAGAACGTTAATTTAAAAAAAATGTGGCTACCACCCTATTAAGATAATGACTTATACCATTAGCACCAAGGATCTGTCCTATAGCAGGAATAGAAAACATCTACTCAAAATCAAGGAGGGCACTGGCTTCTCCCCCCACGCTCCCCAGGACATCCAGAATGCCATTGATAGTACTCCTGTGCTGACAGAAATGGCATACACACACACACACAGTCACTGACTAGAAAACACCTGGAGCAGCACAGTGTGGATCCAATCTCAGATACAAATAGACCACTGCAGAAGGAACAGTTTTTAGAACAAGAGGTCATGTGATCAGAAATTCACTGAGATGGTAGTCACTGACAAACGTCCAAAGCTCCTAGAGCTTTCTATTTGTTTTATTAAGTGGGTGTATTTGTTTGGGGTTATCTTTAGTTTATATTATGTTTTATTTGCATTTGATATTTTCTTTAAACATGTTATAGTAACCTCTGGAGTTCATGAATATTGACTCTGTCACGTGGTAGGTGGTTACTCTTTTGTAACTGTGACCGATGTCATGTGACTAGGAACAGGAATTAAAGTTCAATGTCTTACAAGCCTGTAATGTTATTATATTGTGGTAACACCTAGAAGCCCCAATCAGAGATCCTGGCCCACCAAGTTAGGCACAGTAAACAGGTTGTGATACTTTCTTGGGGTATCCAGAACTGTAAGTCACCCTGTTACTTCTCTGCCTAAGCATAAAAGGGTCTGCTGGTGCTTAACTGAGTGACAATTCCCTGCCACTCCAGTTTGTTAGCCAGCCTCACATATTCCTCAGGACTCTGCCAGTCGTAACTGCCTTGCAGATTAATCCTTGGACTACTTCAGTTCCCAAACTCTCCAGAAGCTTCTCCCTACAAGATCCAGATCCTGTCCCTGGACACTCACAGAAATTACCAAGTATGCTGTTTCCAAAGAGACAGAATACACATCAACCTGTTGGTTCATCTGAGGATGCACACCTCACTTTAATATAACAGCATTGAGATGAATTTATAATAAAACAATAAGTTTATTAATAAAGAACTGAGATTTAAGTGAAACTAAGCAGACAATAGAAACAGAAAACAAAACAAATAATGACATTTTAACAGTTGATATATTGTCTGCCACCACTTCCCGAGCATATATAGAAATGGGAGATAGTTACCCTATAAATCTATTATGATACTGGTCTTGGCAGCAATTACTGGTTGAATGCATTGTAAGACCACATCTTTAAATCCTATTTTGGGATGAGCCAAAATTAACAAAGCACGGATTTCTTTTAAATATATAAATACATTTTGTATTTTTGCTGACAACACCAGCAATATTATTTCATCTAATGGTTAAAATTGCTGATTGACATAGATTGATCTTCTACAACAGCAGAAACTTTCTCCAGAGTAAGTGGGACAAAATGCACATCAATTGGATCCACTCAGGGCCATTACTTGGTAACATTTTTCACTACATTTTAGTGACTTTGCTTTTGTTTTTCTCCTTCTAAAAGATTTTATTTGCCTAAATATAAATATTTTAATGAGACTGTGATTGTGACCCAGGGACCTCTTGATGCCAAGTGGCAGCAGGAATAAGTGGTACATAAGGGTTAGAGGAATGCCCTGGGTCTGGTATATTTACATTCTAGTTCACCAAAAGAGTGTCATGTGAGGTCTTTAATAAAAGCCTCTGTCACGCTGGTTGTCAGTATCATTGCAAACTGCATGTATGGATGTTGTATATGGAGTTACATATGTACACTGAAAATTATGTTCTTAAGGTCTATGTAGGGACTGGTCACCAGGAACAGGGAGAAACTGGTTTTCTTTCCGGCAAGAAATGTTTATCTGTTTCCATGTAAAAGAAGTATTGTCTGATTCACAGTGGTACTCTACTCACCAGTCTGAACCAAATGCTAATGAAGGATAGTGAACTCTTCAAAGAGAGGAAAGGAACAGGAAGAAATAAATAGTGGGGTAGACAGGGGAAGGGAAACCCATCTTGAGGTGCACATCAAAGGTATGTGCTGGTATATTTAAGGGTGCAAAGAGACACACTGGCATCCTTCACCTAGGAAGTAGGATAGCAAAATTTGCTTAATGGAAAAGGGGTCTCAACCAGGTCTGGTTGAGAATGTTGAGAGAACTTTGGGTGAGATAAGCTTTTTTAGACAGAAGGATAACTTATTAATTAAGTTTAATCTCTAGAAAGCATGTTATGATTTTGTTTTATGTGAAACCATTTGTTTCCAATATTCTTACTCACTGTCACTTGAATTTCTGTTCTTTGATAATAAAGTTATACTTATTTTCTCTGTAAATATATCTAAGTGCTGTGTGTTTAGCAGAGCTGTGTTCTAAGGTATAACTAGTAAGCTGTGGTGTACTGTTCCGTTGGGAACACCAGACCTGATAGTTCTGTGAGAGTTCAGTGAATAAAGAGCTGACACTGTAGGGAACGCTCCCAGGACACACGGGTTGGTGTGTGCCTATCGCTAACCTGCACAGAAAGAGAGAGGTCTGCAAGGTAGTGCTTGTGTCACCAGAGGCTGCTGGTTTCAGGAAACAGATCCACAGCAGATACAGACAAGACTTCTTCATACTAAGAACAGGTGGTAGTGAGGTGCCTCACAACCCTGGCTACCCGGGGAAGTGTCACAGGGATATCATTTTGCTTCTGATTTGCACTTGGAATGGACAAAGAGTAGGATGAAGAGGACTTATTATTATTCATGTATTTTGAAAAGCAAATTTAGGTCCCTGTGAGAGGGCTTGGATTGATGTCACTAGAGACTAAAGCTCTGTTTACCCAGATAACTTATGGCATAGGCAGCAGCTGCAGAAAACTTTGCCTACCCTGACCTCAATAGAATGCATTTATGGGGGCAGAACAGAGGGTAGTTTGATCTAAGTGCCCAGCCTTCTAGAGAGACTATGAAAACAGGTGCCAGTTGATGTGAATATAATGGTAATTTTTGTGATGTGGACTAGTAATCAGTAGGAACCGTACGGAGACCAGTAACTCCTCTGATGTGGCATTTACTGTTGTTTAAGTTACGTAAAGGTAATTCTCTTTATATTAATGAAATGTATGGCGTAATCTTTAGTTAGTTATTTAAACATAAATATTTAAGTAACCTTTCTGTTTATATCTTGGTTTTGTGTTACAGTACTGTGTGCCTTTTTATGTCCGCTGTTCAAGTGCAATGAATTTGGGCAGAAGATGTGCAACAAAATCAAGTCAGTTCTGCTGAAACTGGATTTTGGAATTGGGGACTATATCAATCAAAAGAAGAGAGAGAGATCTGGTAAGTAACTAATATGGAGGGGAGAGGGTTGTTTTGTTTTTCCCACATGCAGTCTCAAATATTATATATCTAAAATTAGGCAAAAATCTGCTCATATTGTAATCATCACAGTTCATCTTTTGAAACCAAGCATGAGTATACTTGTCATTATGGAATTCTGAACTGAAGGATGGGAGCAAAATTTAAACAGTATATGTCAGACTGACCGGTTAGGATGGGGTGAGGAGTTTTCTCCTCTCATTAGACTTGATCTGCCCCATCACTTCATATATTTAGGAAAACTGCTAGTTTTAAAGTATGAAACATTAGTCTAGCCACCTTACTCAGAGTTAACATGTACTTCCAAATGCATATGTTCTATTCACATTAAAGCACCTAATGTCTAGTGATTAGATTGAGGCTTCTGAAATAAGGACTCCTAGATTCTAACCCAGCTAAATTATGCTAGTGACTGTGCAACTTCAGGCAATTTACATAACCTCTCTGTGTCTCTGTTTACCGATTGAGGTATTGTGAGGCTTAAGCATTTTGAGATTCTTTGAACTAAAAGATACTGTATAAGTGCATGTTGTTGTTTATTTTATTAAGATGTTTATTTTGGAAGGTGTGCGGGGGTCCCAAAGCAACTGCTGGGAAGGGTATGGAATAATATACTCAACTATTTTTGAACCATGAAATTGCACTATAGTATAAAATCAAAAGGCCATACTTCTGACACTGAAATATTAGGAAGATAAATAAAAAATGCCATCTTCATCCCAGACTTTCTCAGATAAACTTTTATTCTGGGTCATCTTTATATGAGCAAAATTATTATGTTGCTTATTTGATTGTTCACATGAGGGAGTGTGGCAGGGCGCTGCTAGGAAAGCCCTTAATCAGCTCCCTCCGCCCCAGCCCCAATCAGGGGGAATGGATTGGGGCTGGGTAAATAGCCAGTGCTTGCCTGGAAGCTGCCCGCATCTGCCAGCTTCATTAGCAGGAGCTAAAAGGCGGGAAGTGGAAGAAGGGGGGGCGGAGACCAGGAGGGAAAGGTCAGGCTCACAGGGAGGAAGGAGCCTACCAGTCTGTTGCTGATCAGGCCAGTGTGAGGCCAAGCTGTGTAAATAGCCTGTAAATAGTGGGAAACTGGTGGTGGGGAAAGGACACAAAATAAAGAGCATGGGTGTTGCACCAGCTTGGAGCGTCCCTGAGTCTTTAAAGAGTGGGGCCAACGGGCCAAATCCTATGGGGCACGACATGCACCCCGTTACATGTGGGGGCTTGTCCAGGACTAGAAGCCACCGCTAGCGAGTGGAAACCTGAGCATGGAGGGAACAGTGCAGTGGCTCATGAAGCAGCAAGAGGAACTGCAGAAAACCCTGCAGGCCTTTCAGCAGTCCCACCAGGCCAAGTCTTACTTGCTTGGCAGGCCGAGCAACAAAAGACCTTCCAGGACTTCATCAGGGAGCAGGCCAGTGTACAGCAGCAGCTCCTGCACCGGTTGGGGAGCCCCCCCGGGAGGTGATGGCAGCCGCGCACCAGGGTTGGTGCTGTGTAAGATGGGCCCCGCCGATGTATTGTGGGTGCTATCAGAGATAAGTAAAAATTGCATTTGAAGGGGTCCAGGAGTCTGTCAGCTTTTCTGCTAGGCTACAATGCTGCTTTCAGTTAACTTCCTTCTTTAAAAAAAATGGATGGAGGATGAGACTGTTTCTGACAGAGGGGCAGAGAAGGGAGAAGGCAAAATGTGTGTTCCTTGTATGTTAATTGGAGACACCTGTGACCCAACAAAAACTACCAGACCTACTTGGTCATTTTAGTGCAAATTTGAAGGTAGTTAGGATGAATGTTAGGGGGGCGCTCTAGCCCCGCCCTGCCCCCATCCACTCCCTCCCACTTTCCACCCCCTGACTGCCCCCCTCAGAATCCCCAACCCCCCCGCTCCTTGTCCCCTGACTGCCCCCTCCTGGGACCCCTGCCACTAACTGCCCCCTAGGACTCCACCCCCTATCTAAGCCTCCCTGCTTCTTGTCCCCTGACTGCGCCCTCCTGAGAACCCCCCACCCTAACTGCCCCCCTAGGATCCTACCTGTCCCCTGACTGCCCCGACCCTTATCCACACCCCCACCCCATATACACACCCCCGCCCCCAGACAGACCCTCAGGACTCCCACGCCCTATCCAACCACTCCCCGCCCCCTGACAGGACCCCCAGAACTCCCGACCCATCCAACCCCCTCTGCTCCCTGCCTGCCTCGACTCCTCTCCACATCCCCGCCCTGACACGCCCCCCCCCAGAACCCCTGACCCATCCAATCCCCCCTACTTTCTGTCCCTTGACTGCCCCCTCCAGAAACTCCCTGCCCCTTCTCCAGCCCCCTGGCCCATTTATCCTGCCACTCAGAACAGTATGTCGGGCTCCGCGTGGAGCCCGACACATGGCTGCGCTCCCCAGTGCAACACACAACCCGGTCCCTGCCCCCGCACAGTGCTGCCAGAGCGGGGCGCTGGGCATCAGGGGAGGGGGAGCAGGGGAGGAGGAGGAGCTACCGAGGCCCGATGCAAACGGCCCGGCCGGCCGGCGATCTGAGAATGCAGGGAGGGGAGGGGAGTAGCTCTACATTGGCTGGGCTGGACTCCAGCAGCTCATCTGAAGCTGCTGGGGAAGGGATCTGGCTGCCGGAGCCCCATGCGAGTGGCTGAATTTCCTGCAGCCCTGCCGCGCTCTGCATGGGGAGGAAATCCCGGACATTTGTAGCAATTTACAAATTCCCCCCCGGACGCTATTTTTAATCCAAAAAGCCGGACATGTCCGAGAAAATCCGGACGAATGGTAACCCTAACAAAGGAGGGGGAAATCCTGTGCATGAAGACCTATATGCACATATCCAGAAATTACATATATTTTAATCGGTATGAAAATAGCATAGCTTGCATACCCACTGCCTGTTTTAAATCCATAGAATACAGCCATCTCAACACTAGACTAGCTATGTGGAAGGCATAGTTTTGAATTGTAGTTACTTGAATTGTTTAATTTGTGTTAACTTGTACTCGCAATGTAGTTTCAGGGATGTATAGTCTCAAAGCACTTCACACAGCAAGGAGCAACAGGTTTTTAAAAGAAATAAACATAATAAAGGCAGATGAGTATGCGGCAAGACAGTGCAGACGCATGTTGTCTCTCCAGCTATAGATGCTACAGAATAATAGCTCAATAAATATCCAGCTTCTGAGTCAGCTTGTTTTACAACACCAGCCTATTGTATATAATATATGAATCATTCATTGTGTTAACAAATGAAGCCCATAATATGATTGAATTATTTAAGGAGCTGTAGCTCAACAGAGACAATAGAAATAACTCAGAAATGCTTGGTCATCAGGATAGGATAGAAAATAACTAACTGTAATTTTCTTTCTTTCAGAAACCGCAAAACCAAAATCCATGGAAGATGACAGTGAATTAGACATATCAGCCCTGTGTCCTAAGGTGACTGGATTTTAGTCAGTTCTTTTATGTAAAAAAGCATTGAAGAGCATGAAAACTTCTCTTGGTCTCTGTGCTCTATGAAAGACTAGTTTTTTTTCCTCCTAATAAGAGACATGCTGTTGCTGACCAGGAACACAGCCATGTGCATCACATCATGTTCTAAAAGTGACTCTCATTGTCTCCATCCTGAGAAATTGACTCAGAAACTAACCACATCTATGACTACAGGTCCCCCAAATAGCTGGCTCACTGGGCTATTCATCTGGGGAAGCTACAAGATGTTACACCCCTATGGTATTGGCTGCATAAGGAATATACCAGAATTTCACAGCAATTGAATCTATCCCACTTCTCAGGAGTGGAGATACAGATTCTTATTATTATTACAATAGTGCCTAGAGGCCCAACTGACATCATTGTAAAGCAGATTCATTTTGCTATTTGCAGCACCCCCTCTCTAACCTCAAAATATGTAAAGAAACATTCTTTTCAAGTAGTGTCTATGTGGATGCTCCACTGTAGGTGTGCCTGCGTCCCTGCGCTGCTGATAGAACTTTGGTAGCAGAGTCTGTTGAGCCAGCACGTGCGTTGTCTCTCCTCGTGCTGTGCCAGGAGGCTAGCCAGTATGCACGGGCTAACTGTCCTTAGTTCTTTCTCAACTTTCCCTGGCTAGAGACGGAGCCATTAGCTGTCTGTTCACAGATCGTTAACCCCTTTTACAATTGCAATTTTTAGCTTCCTCTGAAGCCTCTTCATTTGCTTTTCTTACCTGTTGCCTTAAAAAAAGAAATGAAAAAGAAAAGGACTTTATTCTTTTGTCAACCCCCGGTGGGCGGGAGGACACCCCCTGCCCCCAAAAAGGGTATGCCCAGTTCTCCGGCTTCAAGAAGTGCCGCACTTGCAGCAAGGCGATCCCTGTTGCGAACAAGCACTTTCAGTGCATCAACTGCCTGGGCGAGGGCTACATCAAACAAAGGTGTACTCTCTGCCAGCAGCTCTGGCCGAGATCCCTCAAGGACAGAGAGCTTCACCAAAAAAAATATCTTCATGGAGGCAGCTCTTTGACCTCAACCTTCCGGTGGCCGGTCTTCCCCACAGCCTTCAACTTTGAAGGACAGTGGGTCGAGGAAATGGAATGGGGACTCCTCTGTCAAGTCAAAAAAGAGATCAGGAAGTCCCCTCAGTGAGCCTAGGGATAGCCATAAGCAATAGCCATCTCGCTCGGTATACTCGGCACCGAGATCTCAGTCCGGCACTCACGCCTCATGGCAACCATTGGTATCCAGTACTGCCCACAGGCCCATTGGGCATGGGCACTGAATCATCAGTACTGAAAGATAAGGACAAACATCCTAGGAAGATGCTCCTAGTATGCAAGTCGACCTCAGTACTGCTAGTGACAGTAGCCCGCCCGGCACCGGAGAGACCGGTACAGACAAGGTCTCCATCTCCCTGACACCAGGAGGATCGGTACCAGCAGAATTCCACCAGACCAGAGACTTCTGCATAATGGAGGCACCTGAGTCTCCACCGCTCAGTACCATCGTCAGGGCATCATGTTTTTGCTGGGCACAGAGGATATCCCTGCAATCATATCATGCCCCTCCACTATCTAGTGAGGTGTCAGACAGTGAGCCAGAGGAAGTATCACAGGACTCCTCCCAAGCTCCATATGCGACCGACTATCAACAGGATCTGGGAATGTACCAGCAGATGGTATACCACCACCATCTTGGTACAGCCACCTATGGAAACCTACACCAGGCCCTATGCCACCATAATGGCCATACTGGGACCCTTAGGTGGCACATCGAGAGCCTGCCTCGCAAGCTTCAAGCCTTGCCCGAAAACCCTCCCAGAACACTCCTTTGGCCATGGCAACTAGAGCCTCAGAGCCTCAGGAAATGGAGGAACAAGAGGCTGACACGGAAGAAGTAACATCTAAAGCCATATTCTCTTCCCTGGATGAAGGGGTCATGCCTTTACAACTGTCCTTCCATCCACTGGAGGAGGTCAAGGATACACACCAGTTCCTTGATATCCTCCTTGAAGATCGCCCTCCCAATTAATGAAGCCGTCTTAGACCTGGCTAAAATGGTGTGGCAAACCCCGGCATCGATAGCCCCGATGTGCAAGCATGCGTACAAGAAATATTATGTCCCCACAAAGGAATCAGAGTTCCTTTTCTCCCACCCACCACCATTCCATCGTGGTAGATGCTGTGAATTCCCTTGGCCAACAACACCATTCCAGGGCAACATCCTACAACAGGGATAGAAAGCGCCTTGATCTATTTGGCAGGAAGGTGTATTCCTCGTCCTCCTTACAATTCCGCATTGCCAACTATCAAGCGCTCATGGCAAAATATGATTACACAAACGACAATAAGTTGAATGACTTTATTGATAAACTGCCAAAGAGTCATCAGGAATCTTTCAAGGCCATCATCCAGGAGAGACAACTAGTGGCAAAAACATTGCTACAGTTAGCCCTTGACGCCACCAACATGGCAGTTAGATCCATCTCCACGGCTGTGGTGATGAGGCAGGCGTCATGGCTCCACTTGTCAGGATTCAAAGGAGATGCAGACCACAATAGAAGACCTCCCCTACAAGGATGCAAAGCTCTTTGCTGAGAAGACCAATGCCTCCCTCCATACCTTGAAGAATTCCAGGGCCACCCTCAGGTTGCTGGGAATCTATACACCAGGGCAAAAGAGACGGTTTAGCGCCCAATCCCAACACAGACCATATATGACTCAATTCCCATAACAGCGCCATTATGAGCCTCAAAGAAAAAAGGGGAAATTCCCGAAGCTCAAGCCATCCAGTCCACAATCTTCAACCCAGTCCCCTTCCTGTAAGCACCACTTTTGATGGGCAGATTGAGGTGCCACAAGACCACTCCCTGCAACTAACTATGATTATGCACCCATTTGGCAGCGTTGCACAGTGCCTGGGAACACGGAACATCGGACAGATGGGTCTTAGAGATCATCTGATCTGGATACTCCATCCACTTCACCTCCCTGCCCCCTCCACAATACCCTTCCCTGTCCCTCTTCAGGGACCCTTCTCATGAGAGTCTACTACGACAGGAGATAGATCGACTCCTCCAGTTAGGATCCATAGAAGGAGTACCTCAACATCTATGAGGCAAGGGGTTCTACTCTTGTTACTTCCTAATACCCAAAAGAAAGAGAGATTGGAGACCCATGCTGGACCTCAGACTCTCAACAAGTTTGTCAAAGCTCAGAAGTTCAAGATGGTCAGATTATCGATGATTATTCCATCACTGGACCAGGGAGACTGGTTTTCAGCCCTCGACCTACAGGACCTCTACTTTAACATTTCAATCCTACCAGCTCACAGACGATTTCTCAGATTCACTCTGGGACCTGACCATTACCAATACAGAGTCTTCCCTTCGTACTCTCATTGGCCCCAAGAGTATTTTCCAAAGTTCTCCCAGTGGTGGCCGCTCATTTACACTCGCAAGGGATAATGATCTACCCATACCTGGACAATTGTCTCCTCAGAGCCTGATCACTTCAGGAGGCTCATCGAGACCACGATACACTTGTTTACAGAATTGAGCTTACAGATCAATACCCAGAATTCAACCCTCAGGCCAGTGCAGCACCTGGAATTCATAGGGGCCGACCTTGATGTTCTACAGGCCAAAGCCTTCCTACCTCAACACAGGTTCCTATCCCTGGTCTCATTGATAGACACGGCTCAGTGCAGTCTACAGATACCAGCCAGACTGCCTCTAACCATTGGGGCATATGGTGGCAGGAACAGCTGTGATACCACATACCAGACTCCACATGTGATACTTCCAACTATAGTTCAGTTTGGTTCACAGATCAAACGGGGACAGGCTGGACAAACCCCTGTCACTACCTACCAGTCAAAAACTCCTTAGACTGGTGGAAGTGTGAGTTACCTCCCCACACTCCTTAGACCAGTGGTGGACAACCTGCGGGCCGCATGTGGCCCATCAGGGTAATCTGATTGCGGGCCGTGAGACATTTTGCTGATGTTGACAGTCCGCAGGCATGGCCCCCGCAGCTCCCAGTGGCCGCAGTTTGCCTTTCCCGGCCAATGGGAGCTGCGGGAAGTGGTGGCCAGCACATCCCTGTGGCCAACAGCTCCCATTGGCCAGGAATGGTGAACCACGGCCACTGGGAGCTGCGGGGGGTGCGTGCCTGCGGATGGTCAACATCAGCAAAATGTCTCGCGGCCCGCAATCAGATTACCCTGATGAGTCACATTGTGGCCTGCAGGTTGCCCACCACTGCCTTAGACCCAGCCAATACATGCAAAGTGATCACCTCGCAGACATCACCATCGTTGCTCCTTACCATCTACGCATCACTCATATGGTAGGGTGCACATTTAAATGGCTTCTACACATCAATCTCCTCAAACTGAGAGTGGTCAGGAATGCCTGCATCCATTTCCTCCCTCTGATAGCAGGATCACATACAAAGATCCTAAACAGACAAAATAGCCTGCATGTACTACATCAACCTTCGGGGGGACCAGGTCACCCTCCGTATGCACGGAGGCAATGAGACTGGAACTGGTACATCTCTCACAACGTCACTTTGTCTGCGGCTTACCTCCCAGCACTCAGAACTCGATAGCAAATAACCTCAGTCACAAATTCCTGCATGATCACAAGTTGGAGGTGCCCATCAGTACTCCATGACCTGTTCGAACAATGGGGAACACCATCCATAGACCTGTTCACCACTTACCAGAACAAGAAGTGTCCACACTGCTGCTCCAGGGCGGGGATGGGACAGCACTCTCTGGGCGATGCTCTTCTCCTCCCCTGCAACAAGGACCTTCTTTATGCCTTTCCCCCGTTTCCTCTTTTGATAAAGGTTCTGCTAAAAATAAAAAGGGATGGAGCTCACATCATCCTGATTGCTTCTACTTGGCCAAGACAGACCTCGTACCCTTACCTGACACAGCTCACGGCGTGCCCGC